CAGCCAACCGCACGTCCCACTGCGGCGTCTTGGAGTTCATCGCAGAAGAGGGATACGTGTACATGCCGTACTGGGTAGGTCTTGCTGTACTGGGTACGTTTCTCTCTCCGTCGGAGCCTCAGAGTGTGCCAGCCTCAGAGTGTGCCAGCCTCAGAGTGTGCCAGCCTCAGAGTGTGCCAGCCTCAGAGTGTGCTAGCCCCAGGTTACATGTTGGCAAGGCTGTGCTGTGCTTTCAACACACTGGCGTCCTTGGCTTCCATTTTTGAGGCACGTCAAAAATAGACTCCTCACGCAAGGCTGTGCTGTGCTTTTAACACACTGGCGTCCTGGGGTTCCTTGCAGAAGAGGGATACGTGTACATGCCGTACTGGGTAGGTGAAGGGCAGCTGGTAAGGTTGACATACTGGTGAAGTCTTTTTGTGTTCGCTCAACCGCACGTCCCACTGTGGCGTCCCACTGTGGGAATTCATTGCAGAAGAAGGTTACGTGTACATGAAGTATTGGGTAAGTTTTGCCGCTTTGGGTAAGTTTTGCCGTATTGAAGTTTTGCCGTATTGGGTACGTTTTGCCCCTATGGGTCAGGTTTGCCGTTTTGGGTCAGGTTTGCCGTTTTGGGTCGGGTTTGCCGCTTCGGGTCGGGTTTGGCAAACAAAAACGCGGGTGATATCCTCATGCCCTTCTCCCTTCGTCTCCTGCACTTTGTTTCCAGATGATGCAGAACCTGCTGCTACAGGAGGGAGATATTAGTGCGGTTTCACACCCGCCACTCTCTCCCCTTCACTCCCCCCCGTTCCCCCACCCCTGTCCCCCTGTCACTCCCCAGTCATTCATTCCAGTCCAGATGATGCAGAACCCGCCGCTACAGGAGGGGGATATTGTGACTTTTGAGTCGACTCAAAAGTCACAGGAGGGGGATATTGTACGATTCGCACTCCCCACGTTTTCCTCATTAGCCCCTCCCCCTTTCCCCTCCCCCTTTTCCCCTCCCCCTTTTCCCCTCCCCTTTTTCCCCTCCCCCTTTTCCCCTCCCCCTTTTCCCCTCCCCTTTTCCCCTCCCCCCAACCACTCCCCAATCATTCATTCCAGATGATGCAGAACCTGCTGCTACAGGAGGGAGATATCGTGCGGTTTCGCAACGCCACACTCCCCAAGGGCACCTACGTGAAGCTGCAGCCTCACACAAAAGACTTTCTGGATATTTCCAACCCCAAGGCCGTGTGAGTGTGAATGTATGGGGTGTGATTGTAAATGGCGCTACAAGGAGACCACTAGAAGGCCACCCTCCCCAAGGGCACCTATGTGAAGCTGCAGCCTCACACCAAGGACTTTCTAGAAATCTCCAACCCGAAAGCCGTGTGAGTGTGGCTGTAGGGGATGTGACGTATTGAGGTCAGTGCGCCACACTCCCCAAGAGCACCTGTGTGAAGCTGCAGCCACATACCAAAGACTTTCTGGACATCTCCAATCCCAAGGCTGTGTGAGTGTGAATGTACGGGGTGTGATTGTAAATGGTGCTACAAGAAGACCACTAGAAGGCCACCCTCCTCAAGGGCGCCTGTGTGAAGCTGCAGCCTCACACCAATGACTTTCTGGATATCTCCAACCCCAAGGCCGTGTGAGTGTGGCTGTAGGGGATATGACGTATTGAGGAGGTCAGTGCACCACGCTCTCCAAGAGCACTCACGATGCATCTCTCTTACAGATGTTCCTGATGCTCCTGGTTGTTGCTGGTCCCGGTACTGCGGAGGAGGCGTATTGTGTCGGTCGGTCCGGCCGCGACGAGACGCCAACGCAGCTGTACATGCTATTTTTGAGGCGCCTCAGAAAGAGACGCCAACGCAGCTGTACATGCTATTTTTGAGGCTCCAGGAGAGCAGGGCCACGATTTTGCGTACCAGCGCGACACGCGGAGAGAGAGGAGGCAGATCCAGCGCGCCCCTGAGGGCAACCACTATGTCAGAAATGAGCTGCCGGGGAACGTGGACTGGGGGGATGCTCGGCGAGCGTGGGATTGGCACACCATGGACCAGACCGATTGGAGGATTGCGGAGAGGTTGGCTGGGGTGCTGGTTTACCTGGAGGCCGAGACCAGCAACAACCAGGAGCATAACAAGCATCCCCCTATGCTCCCCGATGCTTCCTTTCCCCATTTCGCCACACAGGCTCGAGATGACTCTGCGCAGCTTCTCCTGCCTCACCAAGGGCGAGAGCATCATGGTGGCCTACAACAACAACAAGTACTTCATAGACGTGGTTGACGCGCGCATCATGGTCAGCTTATCGTACCCCACCTCTCACAGATTCCTGCTCCCCGTTCCCTATTTCCCAATTTCCCACTTTCCCTATTTCCCTATTTCCCAATCTCCCAATTTCCCTATTTCCCTATTTCCCAATTTCCCAATTTCCCTATTTCCCAATTTCCCAATCTCCCAATTTCCCTGTTTTCTGACTTCCCTTCTTCCCCAAACTGTCTCGAGATGACTCTCCGTGGTTTCTCCTGCCTCACCAAGGGCGAGAGCATCATGGTGGCCTAAAACAACAAGTACTTCATAGACATGGTTGACGTGGTCAGTCATTCCCAACCCTCACATGATTTTTGAGTCGACTAAAAAATCGCCCATTCCCCATTCCCCGTGCCCCATTTCCCATTTCCCTATCTTCCCCTGTCCTAAACAGTCTGGAGATGACCCTGCGTAGCTTCTCCTGCCTCACCAAGGGAGAGAGCATCATGGTGGCCTACAACAACAAGAAGTACTTTATAGATGTGGTTGACGCGCGGCCGGCTGCCGCTATATCCATTATCGAGACGGACTGTGAGGTGGACTTCGCACCTCCCCTGGACTATGTCGAGCCAGAGCGGATCCCCGCGGCTCCTAGAGCACCTGCTGCTGCTGCTGCTGCGTCCGGTGGTGCTTCCGCCTCTGAGGTTGGAGGGAAGAAGGGCCCCGGGCAAGACGGGAAAGCAGGTGTGTGGGGAGAAGGGCCCTGGGCCAGACGGGAAAGCAGGTGTGTGGGGAGAAGGGCCCCGGGCAAGACGGGAAAGCAGGTGTGTGGGGAGAAGGGCCCTGGGCCAGACGGGAAAGCAGGTGTGTGGGGAGAAGGGGGGTACTCATGAGCGGACTGCTTTTGAGGCGCCTCAAGAGAAGGGGGGTACTCATGAGCGGACTGTGAAGTGGACTTCGCGCCTCCCCTGGACTATGTAGAGCCAGAGCGCATCCCAGCGGCAACTAAAGCAGCACCTGCTGCTGCTGGTCGTGCTGCTGCCAGTGGTGCTTCTGCTGCCAGTGGTGCTTTTGAATCGAGTTGGCTTTAGAGTCGACTCAAAACTTTTGAGTCGAGATGACTTTTGAGTCGACTCAAACGACATGCTGTGATGTGGTCGACACACAGCATGCTGCGGCTATATTCATCATCAACACGGATTGTGAGGTGGACTTTTGACTGTGTAGAACCAGAGCGCATCCCCACGGCTCCTAAAGCACCTGCTGCTGCTGCTGCTGCTGCTGCTGCTTCTGATGCCGGAGGGAAGAAGGGCACGGGGTACGACAGGAAAGCAGGTGTGTGTGGATCCGAAGTGTGCTTTTGAGTCGACTCACAAGTCGAATCAACAGCTGTTTTCCCTGCCCCTCACACCTCCAGGCTCCAGGCCCAGATATAGCCTCTTCACCCGGAGTGCCTGCGTAACCTGGCTTCATTGGAATAAGATCGGAAAGATAGTTGAACTATCTGGGAAAAGCAATTTGTTCACCCCGCCTTCCCCTCCCCCCCTCCCCTCCCCCCCCCCCCCCACCCTTTTGGCCCTCTCCACACTCTCCCACGTTTTCTCGCAACTTAAATAATTACCAGACGAAGAACCTACACTCACATCATGTGTCTCCCTTTCCCCATCCCTGCCCACATCACCACGCCCAGACGCCACCCCCCAACCTGAGGAACCTACCTTCACACCATTCGTTGGCACGGGCAGGCGATTGGACGGCCGGCCCGCCGCTTCCCCGTCCTCCCCTGCCACGTCAGCAGCAGCAGCCGCACCGTCACGGGCGTCAGCAGGGGGAGGTGCATCTAGGGAAGGCGCAACTGGAGCAGGGGGAGGAAGTGCTTCTGGTGCTGGTACTGCAGGTGGTGGGAGGAAGGAGGGGCGGCTGGTGTTTGGATCGAGTGATGGAGCACCCCGAGCGGGTCCCCGGGTAAGCCTTGATCTGCTGTGTTGTGCACTGCTGGTGATGCTGCGAGTGGTGGGGAGGAAGGAAGGGCGTCTGGTGTTTGGATCGAGTGATGGAGCACCCGGAGCGGGTCCCAGGGTACGTGGTGGAGTGTGGTGCTGTGTGGTGTAATGTGTTGTGTGATGCTGATGTATGGTGGAAGGTGCTGTGAGTGATGTATGTTGCGATACGTGGTGATGCGTCATGGCATATGGAGCGATAGATGTGTGTGGCATGTGGTAATATCTAGTCGGCGGGTGTAGGTCGCACTTTATACGGTACCCTACATTCCTTTTATCTCATCAGTCTGTTGGCATTTCCCCTGCATGCAGGCGCCAAGGAAAAAGGAGGAGCCAAAGAAGGAAGAGCCACAGAAGCCATCCTTCCAAGCCTTTTCTGGGAAAGGTTACTCTCTGCGCTAACAAGCTTGGTATGCCCTTCACTCCAAGAAGAGCGACGGGAGCCTTCGTTCCAAGCCGTCGTTCCAAGCTGCGTCTTTGTGAAGCGCATTGTTTTTAGCGCATTCACTTTCCATGTGGATGGAAGCGCTAATTTTGGAGTCCAAATTGCACCAATATGGTGCGCATTTGGCTCATTAATGGGGATGGTTATCTTGGCATTCTAGTTGTATGTAGAAAGCATTGCGTGGAATGAACTGCTGCTTTTCAGACTTGGCCTTAGTTTAATCAGTTTGTGCAGATTGCTGTTACCGCGGTTTCTTACAACGAAGCATCTAAGGCCGGCAGTGTCAGAGGATCCCTGGGAGTTACGTGGCCTGTCGCATTACTGCAGCATCAGCAGGAGGCAGAAATTTGCCTGGCTGCAGTCGGTCAGATTTTTCAAGGCGGCTGCTGAAGACCTGCTGTTCGTCGCACCGCGGCCGTAATGAATCTGCAGTAGTGGCTGGTAGTCCGCAACCACTAATTTTACCAGATTACGTAATCACCATTGTTACAATTGCTAGTCCGTAAAACGGCCGTCATAGCCAATTTATTGCCATATCGGCTCGACTGGTTCGAATCCCGACCGTCGAAAGGGTTGCAGATTCAGCGATTGCCGCACGTCCTGATTTCGACGCGCGATTTTAAAGGGTTTTTGGAATGGCGGGACCATGGGCGTGGGCCGCTTTGGTCGCTATCCCCGTGATAGTGGCTTCGTTTGAGATCGTCGCGTGGGCTTTCCGGCCAAAGCGAATCTCTCTGAAGGTGAGAGACAGGAAATTCGGAATATTGGCCTTTTCGTATCTGAATATTGACCCTTTCGTGTCTGAATATTGACCCTTTCGTATCTGAATATTGACCCTTTCGTGTCTGAATATTGACCCTTTCGTGTCTGAATATTGACCCTTTCGTGTCCAAATATTGACCCTTTCGTGTCCAAATATCAACTCTTTCGCGTCTGAATGTCGACCCCGTCCGTGTCTGAATATTGACTCTTTCGTGTGATAATAATGTAGGTTCGAGACGCCTCAAAACTGAATTAGTATCACACACTGCCGTGCTCGTGGCAAAGCCTCCGCACTACCACCTCCTTCCCCCCTCCTCCCCATCCCCCCTCTCCCCTTTCCCCCACCCAACCACAGGGCAAGGCCGTGCTGATTCTGGGCGGCTCTAGCGGCAACAGGCTGTGCATGGGGCAATGCGGGTGCCTAAATGACCTCCCTTTCCTTCTCCCTTCCTCCCCCACCCCACCCTTCCCCACTGCAGGGCAAAGCGGTGCTGATAGTGGGCGGCTCTAGCGGCATGGGGAGGGGCTGTACATGGCAGAAGGCAGGGTCCTCCTGTAACCCTCCTCCTCCCACTCCCCCCCCCACCTTCCCCACTGCAGGGCAAAGCCGTGCAATCGTACTGGGAGGCTCTAGTGGCATGGGGCTGTGCAGGGGAGAAGCGAGGGTCCCCACCCTATTCACCATCCTCCAACCCTCTCCTCCCCTGCAGGGCAAAGCCGTGCTGGTAGTGGGCGGGTCTAGCGGCATCGGGCTGTACACGGCATAAGTGACGTTTTCCTGTTACCCCGTCCCCTCCATCCCCCTCCCCCCGCGTCCTCCCCCTCCCCCCTCCCTCCCGCCCTTCCGTCGTCTACTTGCAGGGAAAGGCCGTGCTGATAGTGGGCGGGTTTAGCGGCATCGGGCTGTGCATGGCAGAAACGAGGGTCCTCCTGTCCTGTCCCTGTACCACCCACCCACCCTACCCACCCTACCCACCCTACCCCACCCTACCCATCCTACCCACCCTACCCACCCTACCCACCCTACCCACCCTACCCACCCTACCCACCCTACCCACCCTATCCACCCTACCCACCCTTCCCACCCTACCCACCCTACCCACCCTACCCACCCACCCACCCTACCCACCATCCTCCAACCCTCACCTCCCCTGCGGGGCAAAGCCGAGCTGATAGCTCCAGCGGCATCAGCCTGTGCGTGGGAGAAGTGAAGTTCTCACGTTACCCCCCTACCCCTCTTCCCCCCCTCGCCCCTCCCTCCCTCTACCCCCCTGCCCACAACCCCCTTCCATCGTCTACTTACAGCGCAAGGCCGTGCTGGTAGTGGGCGGGTCTAGCGGCATCGGGCTGTGCATGGCAGAATTGGCAGCGAAGGAGGGGGCGAGGGTGGCCATTGGGTTCTGCACGGCGGGATAGGCAGTCAAGCAAGGGGAAAGCGACGCACATAGTGGGCGGGCTAGCGGCATCGGGCTGTGCATGGCAGAATGGGAGTCCTCACCCTACCCACCATCCTGCAACCCTCCCCTCCTCTGCAGCGCAAAGCGGTGCTCATAGAAGGCGGGTCTAGCCGGCGTCGGGCTGTGCATGGCAGGAATCGGGTCCTCCTGTAACCCTCCTCCCCCCACTCCCCCTCCCCCCCTCAAATAACTATAGGGAAAGGCGGTGCTGGTAGTGGGCGGGTCTAGCGGCATCGGGCTCTGCATGGCAGAGTTGGCTGTGAAGCAGGGGGCGAGAGTGGCGATTGTTGCACGCAACAAGGAGCGACTGGCGTCAGCACACAAGCAGGTATTTTCTTCAGTGAGGGGTAGGTATGTATGGATGCATGCAGTGAGGGGTAGGTATGTATGAATGCATGCAGTGAGGGGTAGGTATGTATGGATGCATCAGTGAGGGGTAGGTATGTATGAATGCATGCAGTGAGGGGTAGGTATGTATGAATGCATGCAGTGAGGGGTAGGTATGTATGGATGCATTCAGTGAGGGGTAGGTATGTATGGATGCATGCAGTGAGGGGTAGGTATGTATGAATGCATTCAGTGAGGGGTAGGTATGTATGAATGCATGCAGTGAGGGGTAGGTATGTATGAATGCATGCAGTGAGGGGTAGGTATGTATGAATGCATGCAGTGAGGGGTAGGTATGTATGAATGCATGCAGTGAGGGGTAGGTATGTATGAATGCATTCAGTGAGGGGTAGGTATGTATGAATGCATGCAGTGAGGGGTAGGTATGTATGAATGCATGCAGTGAGGGGTAGGTATGTATGAATGCATGCAGTGAGGGGTAGGTATGTATGGATGCATTCAGTGAGGGGTAGGTATGTATGAATGCATGCAGTGAGGGGTAGGTATGTATGAATGCATGCAGTGAGGGGTAGGTATGTATGAATGCATTCAGTGAGGGGTAGGTATGTATGGATGCATTCAGTGAGGGGTAGGTATGTATGGATGCATTCAGTGAGGGGTAGGTATGTATGAATGCATGCATGCACCAGGGGGAGTGCATGGCAGAATTGGCAGTGAAGCAGGGAGCACGGGTGGCCATTGCACGCAACAAGGAGCGACTGGCGTCAGCACACAAGCAGGTTGGCTTGGCAGCATGCTTGTTTCCTAGAAATCTCCTCTGTTCCCAAACCTCCCACCGCCCCAACCACCCCCGGCCCCCCCTCCTCCCTCTCCCCTCCTTCTTCCCATCCCTCTCTCCGACCTCCCGGTCGGTTCAGTCTTCCCCTTTCTACGTGCGCCCTTCTCCTAGTCGGTTCAATCTTCCCCTTTGTGAGAATTCTACAAAATCTCCTTCTTCCATCCGTCTCTCCGTCCTCCCCTTCGGTTCAGTCGTCCCCTTTCTACGCGGTGACTTTGGAGTCGACTAGGTGACTTTCTACGTGGCCCCTTCGTTCCCCCTTCGTCCCACATTACCACATTCCCCCATTTCGCCTCTCCCCTTCCCTGACATCATGCGCACTCATACCCCCGCCACAAACCTCCCCTTCTCCCCCACCCCCCCCCCCCATCTCGTGCCCTTTCCCCAGTCATATTCACATGCCTTCCCAGCTACAAGCCCTAGTAGTATCAGAGACTACTCCCTGATACTTCCTCGCTGATTTGAGACGTTTCAAATCTTGTGTGCTTAATCCCCTCGAATCTTGTGTGCTTAATCCCCTCGAATCTTGTGTGCTTAATCCCCTCGAATCTTGTGTGCTTAATCCCCTCGAATCTTGTGTGCTTAATCCCCTCGAATCTTGTGTGCTTAATCCCCTCGAATCTTGTGTGCTTAATCGCCTCGAATCTTGTGTGCTTAATCCCCTCGAATCTTGTGTGCTTAATCCCCTCGAATCTTGTGTGCTTAATCCCCTCGAATCTTGTGTGCTGGATCCCCTCGAATCTTGTGTGCTTAATCCCCTCGAATCTTGTGTGCTTAATCCCCTCGAATCTTGTGTGCTTGATTCTTTCCGTCCCCCCTATCCTACTCAATCCTGCCCCTTCTCCGCTGGAAGCCCTACTTCCCCAGACGCTCCCTCTGCTGATTTCCTCCTGTCTGCCCACCCATATCTCTACTCTCCCCTACTCTTTTTACTCGTGCGCCTTCCCAGCTGGACGCCCTCTACTACCCCCAGACACCCCCTCTGCCGATTTCCTCTTCTCCGCCCACCCGTTTGTCTCCTCCCCCCATCGTACTCACTCGTGCACCTTCCCAGTTGAACGCCCTGCTGCCCCCAGACGCCCCCTCTGCTGATTTCCTCCTGTCGGTGGCGGCTGATGCGTTGATCCATCATTCCCCGTGGCCTTTCCTCCCCTCTTCCCTATTTTGGAAAATGCGCACATTTTTTCTGTTGCGTATTGCGATTAAACGCACCAAAAATACGTACGCTGCGTTTTAGGTGTAGATTCAAACCGAGAAACGCTTTTTTTCCAACATAGCCTCTTCCCATGCATAGCCTCTTCCCATGCATATGGCTCATCCTCATCCTCGTTCCTATCCCAGTTGGAGGCCCTACTGCCGCCAGACGCTCCCTCTGCTGACTTCCTGCTGTCAGTAGCAGCCGATGCGTTGATTGATTTATCATTCATTCCCCATGGCCTTTCCTTCCTCCCTTTCTGGCTCGTGCTCCTCCTCGTTCCCCTCCCAGTTGGAGGCCCTACTACCGCCAGACGCTCCCTCTGCTGATTTCCTCCTGTCTGTAGCGGCCGATGCAGCGAATCCAGACGATGCGAGGAGAGCCGTTGATCAGGCGGTGGCCGCGTTTGGACGGCTGGATGCGGTGATCTGCTGCCAAGGGCAGAGCACTCCGCACCCGTTCGAATTCGACACAGTGGAAAACCAACAGCAGGTGAGAGTGCTTAAAACGAAAAGCCAGGGGACTGTGAACGATGCGCTTATAAGCGGGGATGGGGTCATTTTCTGCCAGGGGCAGAGCACCCCGCCTGCACACCTTCGACTTCGATACAGTGGAGAACCAACAGCAGGTGAGTGAGTGGTTGTAATCAGTAGCAGGCGAGTGCTTATAGCGAAAGGCAGGGTAATGTGAAGGAATACTACAGGGGGGCGTGGTTGGTCTGCTGCCAAGGGCAGAGCTCGCCACACCCGCTCGAATTTGACACAGTGGAAAAGCAACAGCGGGTGAGTGATTGGTTAGGTTCAGCTGCGGGTGAGTGATTGGTTAGGTTCAGCTGCGGGTGAGTGATTGGTTAGGTTCAGCTGCGGGTGAGTGATTGGTTAGGTTCAGCTGCGGGTGAGTGATTGGTTAGGTTCGGCTGCGGGTGAGTGATTGGTTAGGTTCAGCCGCGGGTGAGTGGTTGGTTAGTTCAGCCGCGGGTGAGTGGTTGGTTAGGTTCAGCCGCGGGTGAGTGGTTGGTTAGGTTCAGCCGCGGGTGAGTGGCTGGTTAGAATGAGGGGCAGGCAAGTGCTTGTAGCGAAGAGCAGGGTATTGCGAAGGAAAACAGGAATGTGTGGATGGGATCTGCTGCCAGGGGTAGGGCACTCCACGGCCCTTAAAAGTGGATACTCTGGAGAACCAGCAGCTGGCGAGTGATTGGTTACAATCAGTGGCAGGGGATTGCTTATAGCGAAAGGCAGGGTATTGTAAAGGAATGCAGGGGTGTGGGGATCTGCTGCCAGGGGTAGGGCACTCCGTGTGTAACGAGTCGATTTTTTAGTCGACTCAAAAATCGACTCATTACTCAAGGCAGGGTATTGTGAAGGAATGCAGGGATGTGGGGATCTGCTGCCAGGAGTAGGGCACTCCACGCCCCTTGGAATTGGATACAGTGGAGAACCAGCAGCAGGTGAGGTGAGTGGTTCTAGGGAATGCAGGGGAGTGGGAATGAATCGGAGAGTGGTGTGCAGGGGTGCGGAGGTGTGGAGGTGTGCCAACAGGAGCAGCGAACACCACTCCCCTGCAAACTCGATGCACTGGAGAACCAGAAGCTGCTGAGTGGTTCGACGGAATGCAGGGGAGTGTGAATGAATGGGAGAGTGGTATGAAGGGGTGAGGAGGTGTGCCAACAGGAGCAGCAAACACCACTCTCCTGCAAACCCGATACAGTGGAGGGGCAGCAGCAGGTGAGAGCGTGCTTATATAAGGAGCGTGCTTATATAAGGAGGCAGCCCGAGTGTGAGTGACTGGGGGGCTTCGGGGTTTGCTGCCAGCCAGGGGCAGAGCACCCCTCTCCTCATCCCTTTGGATTCGTGATGCAGTTGGGAACCAGCTGGCAACAGCAGGTGCTAATGAGTCGATTTTTGAGTCGACTCATTACGCCAGGGGCAGAGCACCCCTCGTTCCTTTCCATTCGTGATGCAGTCGGGAACCAGCTGGCAACAGCAGGTGCTCTGCCCCTGTGCTGAGCCAAGGGATGGGCACCCCGCATCCCTTCGAATCCGCGATGCGAGTGCCTATAACGAAAAGCAGGAGAGTGATTGTAACCAGCAGCAGCAGGCGAGTGCCGATAACGAAAAGCAGGAGAGTGATTGTAACCACCAGCAGCAGGCGAGTGCCTATATTGAAAGGCAGGAGAGTGATTGTAACCAGCAGCAGCAGGCGAGTGTCAGAATGTGTGTTTGTTGCGATGTGCTGATCTGCTGCCTGGAGCAGAGGAGAGCGCAGCGCCGTTTTGAAACGGTGCTGATTTCGAATTGGGTCCGCGCAGGCAATTCAAAATCTGCACCGTTTTGAAACGGTGCTGAACAGAGCACAGCCCCGGTTTGGAATGGTGCTGATTTCGAATTGGATCTTCACTGCACCGCACGCCGTTTGATTTTGCAGGGTGTTTTTGAGAATTCTCAAAAACACCCTGCAAAATCTTGGATCTTCACTGCACCACACTTGGCGTTTTTAAACCCAATTCAATGGAGGACCAGCCCCCCCTCTCTATGATGATAATGACTCAAAAATCGACTCATAACACCCAGCCCCCCCTCTCTCTGATGATTTTGAGTAGACTCGAAGGCGACTTTTGACTTTTGAGTTGGCTAAAAAATCACACCGTTTGAAATCCAACTCAACGAATGAAGTGCGAATTTAGACGCGGGAGTCGCGGCGACGAAATTGTGACCTCCTCGACCGGTGCTTTCGCTGCGGTAAGCTACTAACGAGAGGGACTGCTGTCGAGGATGTGATTGTAACGGTGCGACTGCTGCTGTAACTGGTGTGAGTCGCGGGGGTTGGAGATGGAGGCATGCCATCGCGGCGTACGCGGCGAGAAACTAGTCCTGCCTTTTTAAGAATTCTCAAAAACAGAAACTAGTCCTGACTGTTTACAAATGATCAAAAATACCCTGCAGAGACCAGCCCTGTTTTATGCTGCTCCTGCAACCGTTTATGCTGGGCTGGGCTGTTTTGTCCCGACTGCACACTACCAGCAGGTTTATTCTGAGCCGACCAGAAACACGGAGCCAAAGTTTACGCAATACGACGTTCCGCGTCGGACGGAGGCAGACGCTCAAGATACGTGAAGATACGCGAACAAGGGGGAAAGGAAAGGATAGTAAGTGACGCGGTGAGAACGCCTTTGATTTGAGGCGTCTAATACGGCTTCGACGCAGACGAGGGAAGGAGTGACGGGGCGTTGTTGAGCTTAGCTTGTTCACATCATAGATACATCTACACGGCGGCCAACCCTCGAAGAGCTGACTCCTCCCGATAGGCGCACGTAAGACAGGGAAAGATAGCCTTGTAGCAAGAGGTCAACCCTCTAACAGATTGTATAGCCAAGTCGTTGAGCCAATCGTCGAAAACCTGAGAGAGTGTCCCTTGGAAGTGCCGAAAAACCACGTGGAGTGAGAGAGTCAAGTGCAAGAAAGAGGACGAACGAACGAAGACGAGTGAGGAGGAAGGTCGCTGGAGAAGCCAAACCTTGTCGGATTCCCCCTTGAAACAACACCCAAGAGCCTAGAGTCTAGACCGAATGTGTGGTTGGTTGGAACTTGGGTTGGTTTGGGAGGAATGGAAGCTCGAGGCGTGAATCTGACCTCAAACCTTGGGAATTGGCTTGGGGGGAGGGGAGACAGACGACCAGGTGGCACTGTACTGTACAAGCGAGTGCCGTGTGGGGAATTCCCAGCCAGTCGAAAACGTTTTGGCTGCCCCTGAAGCGAACAAGCCTGCATAACTCGGCAATAAACGACCTTTCCCAACTCCCGAGGTTATGACGGAGTTTCCGCCTTGGGGAATTGGCGCGGCAAGCAGAGCAGCTGGGGGACGTTTGCTCCCTGAGCCACACATACTTGGCCTTGAGTTTCCTCCTAGAGACGCGGCGCCGCTTTGTTACGAACTGAGTCAGCATATTTGACCAATCAGCTGCAGCTACTTTGTGCTTGTGGCGGCCGCTGGAAGGGTCATTCAGCAGGCAAAAAAACTCAAGGCGCATGGGTGTTGTTGGTGATTGTGCTCACGTTTCGCGAATTGAGAGCTCAACGAACAAATGCAAGCTGGGTGAATTGTTACAAAAACGCTCCACGAAACTAATCCAAATGTTCTGACGGAGCCTAAATGTTAGGTTGCCTAATCCACACCATTGAAATTATCAGCACTTACAGTTGATAAAAGCATTAGAAAACCCTTTGAAGTCCAGATTACTCCGCTTTCTTCTGGTCACAACCTGCTCATGAGATGTCATTGGAAAAAAAGAATTATACAAAGGAAAATGGTTTTTCTTTCGTGAGTAGCAAGTTCTGGCGGGTACACAGTTTTAAATTAGCATGAATCACATTATCATAAGCACCCCAATAGCCTTGCACCTCCATTGTCTGCCCTGCAGCGTCAACATCTTTTGGTATACTTGTACATAAGCTTCGGTGAGAGCTGTGTACCCTCAGACTGGGGTCCTTTGATTACAAGAAAGGGGCTGTAAAAATGTGTCCCCCCCTTGAAAGGATACAGCAGCAGTCATTTGCGTGGCATGCTGCAAAGAGAAAGAGAATGCGAGAGAGTGAGTGACAAACTCAAGCTAATAAACACACCAGACATGCCATGAAAATCGCAAGGACATGCTAAGACTCGCAAACACATGTACGCACCCCAGAGAAAGCACACACTGCAACGACATGCACACATGCCCCCCTTGTACAGCTATAGCCTCCCACTGACTGACGTCAGTCAAATCGGCAGGTAAAGGACGCCTTTTT